CCCCCCAGCTGCACCAGCCGCTCCTCCTCAGCGCTGCGCTTCGCATCATATTCGTCGCGCGCGCGCTTAGCCATGCGCAGCAGGTCCTGCCGGGGGTCGCGCTCGCCGCGCCGCGAGCGCACGCCAGGCAGCTCCCTGCGTGCGCGCGCGCGCGCGTGGGTTGTGAGGGGCGGGGGCGGTCGTGTGAGAGGGTGGGAGAGGGGCGGCGCGCGGCGAGGGGGTGGACGGGCGTGCGGCTGTGTGCTTGGGAGGGCCGGTTGATTTCGTTAAGGGCTGGGCTAGGCAGGCATGTGCCAAAGCTGTCAGGGGCAGGGAGCAGCACAAAGCGCGGCGCGCAGCGGGGGGCTCTGCAATTGACCATCCCCAGACGCTTGCAGTTGCTCACTAACCGGGGACAACTGAAAGCGGTGGACCCCCTGAACCCCTGAACCCTGAAACCGTGGGCCCCTCACTTGCAGACGTCCGCCCGCTGCATGCGCACGCGCGCGGCGCGCTGCAGGAACGACCCCAAGTGCACCTGAGGGGGCGCAGGCGCGGGAGGACGAGGCTTTGCTCAGCCCAGGGGCTTGCCCGAATAAGAAGCGCGCCGGGCAGCGCGCCCCACCACAATGTGAGTGCAGATGGCGCCGAGCGTCCACTCTGCCCCGCGTCCGCGCGGCCGACCCATTGCGTGCGCCTGCGAGGCGCTAGAACCGCGCGCGCGGCGGAAAGCCCAGCCGTGGTTGAAAACCCTGCCTCGGCGCCGCCGCAAACTGTGGCCAGCGCACCTGCACGGCAGCTGCCAAGAACCCGTGGACCTCCTGGTTCACCAGCTTGATGCCGGCCCGAAGCGCGGTGCGGCACACGAGCTGCAGCAGCGGCGCCTGAGCCAGCACGGGCTCCTCCTGAGAGGCAGGGGCGCAGTCAAGAGCGCCGGAGCCAAAGGCGGGCGGCGGGGGTGAGGGCAGGCGGGGGTTATTAGAGGGCAGGCAGGCAGCTGCTTGAGCTGCAAAGCTGGTGTTGTTTGTTTGCTGCACCGCTTTGGGTGCCGCTGCTGGCCCGCCGTGGCCCACGCGCACCACCCCTTAGCTGTCAGCACACCGCGTGAGCGACGCCACCACCGTTGCAGGCAGAGCAGCCAATGTGACCACCCCCCCCCCCC